TCTATTCTAGTGTGTTCTGTTTGTTGCTTTTGTTCAGATTGTTTTTACCTTCGTACCCTTCTTGCAGTTAGATGCTATTTCATTTATTTGTGATATTCACCAAACTTGAATGTCTTTATTCTTAATTGCTGTATGAATTCGCAACCTCATCCCAATACTGTTTGCCTTCACTAAATCTGAACTGTGTTAACTACCTGTGCTTTACTAGCCTCAAGCTGTTATATAATCATTGTTAACGTTTTAACGTTGTCTATTGTCAAAGGCAAGATCAGATTTTTTTTATTAATGTTGCTTTAGCAATGTGAAAACTATTATTACCGCAGAAACTCCAATCATCTTGCTGTCGCAATTTTCTTTCTTCGTTCAATTTTGTTATGACGTCGGACAGGAACTATCGCTTTTGGTTTTTTTTATTACCCTCCTCACTAGCATACAGATCAGCAAGAATTAAACCGCTATTTGTTAATGGTGTTTACCTTTCTTAGGACGGCTTTCGGAGTTGTTTTGAAAGGGTTTCTATAAATTTTTATTCAAAACTTATGTGTGATTTTATGTCAAAGGTTTTAAAATGAAAGCAATGATTGTTAGCCATATTTTTTGTTGTTTTTTAACGAACCTTCCTTCGTTCATTTCTATATTGTGTTTGCCTAAAATTAAAACACAACGAAGTGCAAAGTGGATGTGGAGACCGCCTCCCCAGCGCCATACATAGAATGGTATAAATACCTTGTAAGACCATCAATAACATATTGTTCTGATACCATCGCATTTGGCCACATTACTCACAACGGACCACCATATTGGCATGACCCATGCAGCAGTCCGTAGATCACCCACTGCGAAATGCAAAAAAAAACTCTGCATCACATGTATTTGCCCATTTACTATTAGCAGATAAAACGCAGTACTAGCAAGCACAGTAAAAATAGTATGTTTACGGCTCGGAAAATTTTCCATGATTGTCGTAATTATAAAAGTTGTGACTGTTCCTCCAGCCTTTTAACAGAGATTGGTCACAAAACGTCAAAATGATGAAAATTCGCATCACTATGACGTATTTTTAGACGCAGAAACTTCATTTTAACATCATTAATACGTCAATCTGACGTTTTGTAAGCAAGACTAGGGTATCAGATATCTACAAAATTCCTGTAAACTAGGCCTGCGGCGCTGACACCCGAGTCGGACAAAGGGCACAGTCGTAAATAGGCCGTCGGCCCCAAAAGTCACTAATTTTGTTCCTCGAGTTATCAGTTTGATTAGTTACACTACCGGACACCATCAAATATCTGAGAGTTAACATTAAAATGTTTTGGGGTCATTTCCGTGTGAAAAACGCCTTCTGGAGCCCAAACGGTTAGAGATACAGCCAAACGGGCAAAATTTCGGCTCAAAGGGCTCTACTTTGACGAGTTACGTCTAAGAAAGATGTAAAAAAAATATTTTCTTAAAGAAATGTTTTGGGCTTTTTTGTTTATGATATTTTGACACGTTAATTTTTGAGCCAGAGGGCTCAAAATCAATACAGTTCTTCCTTTTTATGATACAAAGCTACAATAAAAATTACAGTCTCCTAGCTAAAACCGTTTTCGAGTTATCGTGCGTACAGACAGACAGACAAACAGACAGACAGACGCGAAACTTTTTGATCATCACTGGAGTAATAGGCTTCGCTAATCGCTCAGCCAATAAAATTTACCACTACCTTTGCAAAGGGCTGAGAGTTCATGGTAAGAAGGTGTGGCTGAGGGCCCAGTTGTGGATGAGAGCGCCTGGTAGGTAGGCGGGCCCGCCATACATACTCGCCGTGCGCCCCCGACTTGTTTGTAACTTGTGGGTACCTTTGGACGAGTTGTGGCTGAGGGCCCATTTGTGGATGAGAGCGCCTGGTAGGTAGGCGGGCCCGCCATACATACTCACTCACCGCACGCCTGCGGCGGTACCCAGTGACCCTCG